CTGTACAGTAAAAATAAACTCATGACGCCTTTTCTTACCTGTTGGTTCAATATTTAGTATTTTTTCTTTTGTATGGACAGCTCTAACAATTTAATTCTTTGGTCTATATGACATTCTTACAATGCTGTTCTTTGTAAGTGGGGGTATTTCGGGGTATTTCTGTTAAATTGATCTACAATTTCAGACAATGAATTATTGAAAATATTGTAGATCATCCTGTTGTTTGATTTCTCTATAATTTTCAATACAAAAGTTTCTGCAATACTTCACAGTTATGTCTGATTTGTCTTCGTGTCGTTTCATAATTTTATAAATTTATAAATCATTGTTTTCAGAAGTATTCAATTAAATGACTTCATGGACATTGAAATTAAATTAACAATCATGCGTAATTAATTTATAATAGTTACTAAATAATTCACACATTTAAAATTTCTTAAAATATGTAGATGAAGAAACAATAATCAACTTAACCCCTTAACGCACAGTTTTTTTGAAAAAAACCGGCCAAAAAAATCAATTTTTTGAAGAATTTTGATATACTGCGCTTTTGTTCCATGGATAAAGGCTATATTTTATTCTTGAATAAATAAGTGTTATAGCTTACAATTCCATATAAATGATAAATATCAATAAAACGTTTTTTTTTCTTTGCTTTCACATTGTTATTTTCATTTCTTGATTATATTCAAGTGTGAAAAATTATAGCAGCATAAAATACAACGCCGCTCAAATTATTTCGAGTGTGCACAGTTTGGCCTGTTTAGCACGCTCGAATTAACGCGTAAGGGGTTAAAGTATAGATACAAAAGAAATTTTGTAATTTTTTACATGGCTTTATATATATATATATATTTATAAAGATAACTCAGAGAATATTATATATATATATATTAATATTATATATATATATAATATTCTCTGAGTTATCTTTATAAATTGAACTCTTGGATGCAAGAAGGGCCTGGGTGACAAAAATGAATATCGAGAAAATAGTCTCTAAACTTTATGAAGATAAAAATTTCTTGTACATAGTGAAGTCGTTTTAAAACTCTTTAGGAGTTTCTTCTTTACATCTCATTAGTATAGCATGAACTACATAATAAATGAATTTTATATGACAATTATTGATTATAGTAATCTCAGGTCCTTCTTGCATAAAATACAAAACTGTGGTAAAAAATGACATTTATTAGCATTATTCTTTATTATTTATGATTTTTATATAATATTTGAGAATATGTACATGTTTAATAGTAGAAAACTTATAATTTTGTAACATGAAAATAAGAAAGTGCTGGTTATCTGCTTCAATTTATTTGGCTTCATCTATAATATTTTCAATATAACTTAGTTCATCCAAAACAGAATAGAAGTTTATAGATTGTATTGATATTGTTTCGATATCCTGATAAATTGTCTGTTACCAAAGATTTGTGTTTGTCAGACGCAGCAGAACGAAACATGACGATTAACCTTATTCGTGAACGTCGCACGTCAGTACAAAAATTTGCTGTAGTTATCTTCGTCAATTTTAGAGATATCGCAATAAAATTTGCAGGCTATATTTAGAATGGAATGAAAAATCGATTTATACATTTTATGTAAGAAGGGCTTTTGTGTTGCAAATATATGTGTGAGTCTATAACTAATTGCAGAACTGTATATGTAATTTTATTTACAGAAGTAAAATGAAAAATTCGATATGGAAACTAAGGGAAATATAAACTTTTAAAAAATTGATTCGATATATTCCAATTCTGGAGTTCAGATATAAATATATACGTAAAAATATTTCGAAAGAGGTTATTGTATTACCTGAGCTAAGAACGCATACTTTCCACTTAATAATTTTGAATTTTTAATGTTTAGTATATAACGAAATATCCCTTTAGTTTCAGCTTCTTTCCATTTTTTTTTCAGGATAAAATCAAAATTAACTTCTCTGTTTATTTGCATAGTAAATACAGTAACACACATCCGGGGCACTCAGGCGACTAGCTGGGTATCTGGACACACAGATTTCATTATAGAAATGGTATTACAGTAGTGCCTCACCATAGTAAGCCAAGCGGAGGTAACCGGCTTAGAGTTATGAAACAGGTAGAGAAATCTAATTGCTTGACGCTTCACAGCCAAACAGTGCTGTCCTCAGAGTTTTAGACAAGGAGAGGAAGTGACAAGTGAGCAACTTCAAGTGGCAAGATATCAACACAACCCCAAGCGAAACAAGTTACATCGACGATCATTGTAACTTGTCTCACTTTATCATGCTTGCGGTCTTACTCTTTTCGCGTATATGTATGCCTGGTGCTCCATCTAAAACACGTGATGCAATATTCGACTTGTATTTTTTGCCCCATAGGATTCTCGATTACACAGTGTAGCGTATTTGCGAACGTCTTAAAACGACGATCATTTCTACAATTATTAAAATTTTCGAGAACTCGTAAACTACAATTTAGCTAATAGTTTTTATTTTATGAATCTACAAAATTTTGTTAATTCAGTCATCCCAGTACTGTTGAACTGAGACGATCAGCAATCAATATTCTACTGTACGAGAAGTTTCGAAAGTAACGAATAATTTCGCAATTTTACACGATTTTTACTGTTAAAAATTCGAAAAACAAAGCTGAAACTTGCACTCATATCCTCTTAGAAAGTAATGTAGTAATTACCTACAAAAAAATTCTCACACTAAGAGTTTTAGAGAATTTGAGTTAAGAATTATTTATTGAGTATATCACAATTATTGAAATCTTCGAAAATCCGTAAGTTGCATTTGTTACTAATGATTTCTAGTTTATGAAACTATAGAATTTTTTAAATTCAGCCATTCCGGCCAACAATCAATATTGTACTTCACGAGAAAGAGTTTCGTAATTAACAAGATAATTTCGCATTTATCGAAGTTATGAACGAAACTAAGAATATAACGAAATGTTGTTTGTAGGTCTGGGTAAAATAGAAAATCGTATTTTATTATTGCATCGACATTATCACTGCTGAAGTGAATAGGGCTAGAATGAATTTGAGGCATTGAAAAGGATCGTTAGTATTAAATAGAGACGTTTGTAGAACACAAGAGGTTGCTGTTGCTACTATGGTTGCATCGCGGCCGTAATTCTGGAGTTCAAATTTCATGTCATAGTTTAACGCCCAGGCAAAATCCCATCACCACCTCCATCCTGCGCAGAACGTTATTGCGTCTTTAGTGGTCAGTACCTCGGTAGTCTTCAACCTTTGCGATCTCGTGGCTCGAGATTTGGGGTTGTGAACTTTTTTTTTTTTCTTTTTTTTTTTTTTATCGTGGGGGAAATCTGCTGGCCAGACACCCCCGCCCGCCCGGGGGGGGGGGCGGGGGGTAGTGCGAGGTTTGACCCGCTAAAACCCCCACGGCGGCCTAGGGCGCTGGCGATTACTGGGGGAGCCACGGGAACTCTTAACGAACACAACCGCGGCTCCCCCTCGCCTGGCCGGCCACCAGGATGGAATGGCGGTGGGAGATTTATCCCGGGGGGAGATTTATCCTCCCCCATGAATAATCTTGGTTCGGCGGTGCGGGGGACCGCTCCTCGCACCGCTTCGTCACGACGGCCGCTTTTCAATGAGGGTGCCCAGGGCACGGCGGCCGTCGCCCCACTCCCGGTATAGGGAGGACATTTATTGCGAATCTGGCCACCGCGGAGGTGGCGCAGATATGTTTCCTCGCCAGATCTGGCATATACAAGAAATTTAGTACCTACCCCCCGACGGAACACCTACGAGGGGTCCGAACGTGGGTAAATCGCCGCCTTCGCTCATCGTTCATTAGGCTGGGTACGGAAGACCCAGTCTTAACTCCGCGTCCGTGTAAGGAGTTTTGTGGTTTGCTTTGCCCCCAAAGTGCCACACGACAGCAATTGTACAGCGTGTCAGGCTAGGGGGCAAGGTATAGGGAGGACATGTTCGTCGCCCCACTCCCGGTATAGGGAGGACATCTTCGGTTGGCGGGCGGCGGGCAATTAAACCAGCATAATCTGGTACACCCGCCGCCCGCCTATTCTCAGCTGCTCGGGGGGGGGGGGGCTAGAGGCGTGGGCGCACACGCCGCACCCCCCGCTCACGGCGACCCCGCTCGGCAGCCTCCTTCTGCAACATTACCTGTTCGCAGAAGGCGATGGCTGCCGCCCATTTTCTCGGGCTCTCCAGCATGGCCCCAACTAAGCTGGAGAGAGCGAGGTCGCGACCAACTTCCCTTCTTAGGACTCGGCGCAGCACTGAAAAGGCGGGGCATACCTCCAGTGTATGCTGCGCCGAGTCCTCCTCCGCGCCACAGTGGTGGCACACCGTCGCCGCTTCCCGACCGATGCGACACAGGTAGACATCGAAGCAGCCATGCCCGGTGAATACCTGCGTCGCACGGTAGGAGAGCCTGCCAAACCGCCTCTCCCGCCACGAGGTGAAGTGCGGCAGGAGAGCCCCAGGGACGCGTTCGCCGGTGTGGGAACAAAGCTCCGCATGCCATCTGGCGAGCGCAAATCCCCGGGCCTGGAGCTCGAAGCACTGGACCGCCTCCTACTCCGGCGGGTCCCCCCCCGAGCCCGGCCAGCGATGCATATGCGCCTATAAATATAGGCGCGCATCGCCGCCTGCAGCTCGAAGGGAATTTCTCCCGCCAGAGCAAGCGCCGCCACGGTAGACGTGGTGCGGTAGCCTCTTATGAGGCGAAGGGCCATCTGCCTCTGAAGCCGGCGCAACAACAGTGTGTTGCGCCGGTTTGCCCTCACGGACGGCGCCCATGGGGTTGTGAACTGCCCGGCCTAGCGAGTCCGAGACAGAATTTGAAATTATTCAAATAAATATTTCACTAATATAATTGTCCGAATGAATTCTTGCCTGTTGAATATTTCATTCGGATAATGATTATTCATTATATATCCCAACAAATTATTTCATTCACTTATTCAAACAATCTGTTCCATCTATTTATTTGAACAAACTATTCTATGAATTTATCCGAACAAACTATTCCGTTTATTTATTTCGCTATTGTACAATTATTCAAATCATAAAATGTGTATTTGTTAACTGCTTTTGTTTTTACCTTATTTATGGGGATATATTTATACAAAGACATTGAAGATTAGTTCAATTAGCATACAGTGATCGAAATAATTTTCTTAGTAAAATAAACGTGCGTCTAATATGCAGTTTTTCAATTTGTATGCTCTAAAATAATGGTTTCGGGGAAGTGTAGCCGACCCGCTACGGGAGAGAGAAGGAATTTACGGATGTAAAAATTCCATCCCCCTGAGTGCGTGCCAGATGCGGCCGGATTTCACGGTCAGGTCGTAAAAATGAAAGAGCCTAATCGCTTGAAAATCCTTCATTCACATATTTTCTGAAATCTTTACATTGCAGTCTGTAGTTACCGAGGTTAACTTTTAACAATTGCAATGCGAAAATGCTCGACGACGAAGCTTTCGCAGCATTTATCGTCATTTCAGAAAAAACGTGAGTTACTCCGCCGTCATCGCAAAAGTTTAACACTTTGACGACCGCACTTTTCGTTAAAAATTTGTCAGCTTTGTGACAAATTGGCAGGCTGATGACATACTGTCATATAATTCATCAATAAACAGTATTTAATAACCAAAATATATATAGAATATAACAGTGATATAACTATCTAAAATATAATAATATACAGGTTTATACTATACAGAGTGTCCAAAAACTATCGTATTTCTAAGAAATGAACGATTCCTGAGGTCATTTGGAGCAACTTTTTCCTTAGCAAAAATGAAATCCGCGGCTTCGTTTACAAGTTATTAACGAAAAACAGTGACCAATGAGAGGCGATGGCGCTTGAGAGCCCGCAGCACGTGGCTTTGACAGAAGGTCGAGACGGATTCGGGCTGCGTTTGAAGTATTGAACAAGTCACGGAGCGTGAATTTTACAAATTTTTTTTAATTACGTAATAGTGATATTTTTAAGAAAAACGCTGTTCACCTTTACTTTAGAACGCCTGAAGAATATTTACCAATTTTTCGAAGCCGAAATAGTAAGTAGTTTAACCGTGACAGCCGTTTCAATTATTAATTGAGCCGATTATAGTGAAGATCAACAATAAGAAATCCCGTCAACTCACGTAAAAGATGTTTGTTTCAATAATTTCGTATCTAAACAAAATTCAACGAACGATTCTCAAAGCTAATCCAATAATAAATCGCGCAAAGAACATGGGGGATATGTTCCGCGTTAATAGTATATAGAAGCTATCTATATTAATAAAGCATACGCAGCACGACTGCTTGACACAACACCGTCCCTACCATACAATAGATTCCGAAAATGACCAAAAACGACCCCATCTGTACTGCAAGCGCCTTTCTACAAACAAATAAGCGACCGTAGCAATAGTATCTAATTATCCGAAAGGCCGTTATTTTCTGCCTGTAATATTTCCTTCAACGCTGCCTACATCTGGTCGCCAAAATTCTTGTTGAGGATTGTCGAGCGAGGGTTTTATGGCGGGGGACCATGTGCTTGGGACCCGTGAAATCGGCTAGGGTATGGGCCTGTCACCCGCTCCATGTTGAAAGGAGTTTTCCGGTCGCCCCAAGGCACATGGTCCACACTCTTGGCCATCGACAGTATTGCCCGCCATAAACACTGGACCCTAGGCCTATGGCGCGCCGCGGGTCGCGGGAGACGGTATGTCTTCGGACAAGGGGCAGTTTAGAAAATGGTTTGCAGATGTCGGGAATTTCCCAGGCCCATCCGCGGCCTCGAAGTCCCGTGCAAAGATGCGGTACTGCCCCTTCTTAGGTCCCAGGCGTTGTCTTTCGGGCTCGTCGCGATTGGACGGCTTTCCTAAACACCCACCCCTAATTTACTAGGGTAGGGAGGACCGAGGTGTCGTTATGGGCGAACCTCGGTCTACAGATCAGATACCGTTTGGATACCGTTTGGATACCGTTTGGATACCATTTAGACACCATTTAGATACCTTTCAAAACTCGTTCACCCTCGCAACTCAACATTCAAGTATCTCCACCGGAGAGTGTAAATAAATTGTTTTGCATCACTCACGGTGTAAAGTTTGTTCCTCCCGATAGGGGAGGTGGTCCTTCGAACATTCACTAGTCGACACAGTACGTGTAAATTTCACAAGGC